TCGCTGATGCAACTTTCATTCCCGGCATCAGAAACGCGGCGGCGCGCATGTTGAACCGAGCGAGGAAAGCAAAACAGGCAAGAGAGTTTCTATACACACACAACATAGCTCGTGCGGCTTCAGGCGTGCCACCTCTTCGATGGGACAAAGGTCTAGCTCGATTCGCTGATAAATGGGCCAAACAACGTAAATCCGATTGCAGTATGTTACATTCCGGTGGACCTTACGGCGAGAACATTTTCTGGTACCGGGAAAATAGTATGTGGTCGCTTGGAAAAGTGGTGAAGAGATGGTCTGAGGAAAGGTTTAACTACGACTCGAAAACAAATACATGTGCATCGGGCAAGATGTGCGGCCATTACACGCAGATCGTGTGGCGTTCCACGACAGCCGTTGGATGCGCACGTGCGAAGTGTAGTAACAATCGTGGGTATCTTGTAGTGTGTGAATATAATCCAATTGGAAATTACGAAGGTGAAAGCCCTTTCGATCGGATACAATAAAATGATAGAGATTGAAAACATTTTTTTGTTTTCTCATATACATATATCCATGTGTTGAAGATGGAATTCGATCCAGATTATACATCTTAAATGGCTATCGAAATTTTCATTTGATTTAAATAGTGTCCTTAAAACGACCGCACACGATGGGAGACGATAAAAAATATAAAAAACGTCGACAGCAGGGTTCGAACCTGCGCGGACGAAGCCCAACAGATTTCAAGTCTGTCTCCTTAACCACTCGGACATATCGACTTATTGCATATTCTTCGTTTGATAACTAATTTAATTTTGTTTAGCTTAGTGGAAAGCTGTTATCAACTTATATCATGATGATATCAACGACGATAAGACATGAAGCACTTAATTTTGGAGGGACGTGGATCCTTAATTTGGTTATGTTTATGTCATGTTTGAATTATTTTTGATTTGGCATTTGGCAATTTGTTTGATTCGGTACAAGTCCTTTTCATCCATACCAAAAGGAAAAATTAAAATGAAACAAAAAAAAGCACGACCATAGAATTTCATGACTTGGAAGACTGCAAGTCCCCACGTGATATAACTTGAGGCGCTAAAATATTAAAATATAATTACGACAAAATAAAAATTGAAAAAATGGATGGTCTAGGATCGAAGCGAAACACAGTCCACATAATATACACAAACACCAACTTTCTTGCCCGCCATGTGGACTTTCCTCTTTCTCTCTCTCTCTCTAAACACTGTAGCTATCTGAACTAAACCGATGAGCTCGTCGCCGTTAAGGATTCCGACGTCGGTCGAAGCACCACCACCGTCATCTACATCGACAGATACGACAACTAAGATTGCGATGGCGGAAGGTTCCTCAAAGAAAGTGAGGAAGCCTTATACCATCACCAAGTCCAGGGAGAGCTGGTCAGAGGAAGAGCACGATAAGTTTATAGAAGCCCTTCAACTGTAAGATCTCTGCTTCTATTGCCATTCTTTTGTCCTCGTCAAGTTAAAGTTACTTAGTTTAGTTAATCTTGCTGCTGATTTCTGAACAAACAGAGGAAAGCTTTGTGTGTTAGCTAGGTTTAGTTCTTAGCTAGATATATCTGCTTTAGTTGAGTTAAATTTTTCGTCTCTATTCTTCGTTCCTCAGGTTTGATCGTGACTGGAAGAAGATAGAAGATTTTGTGGGTTCAAAGACTGTGATTCAGGTCTTGAGGATAGCTGCTTACTCTGAATTTTAGTCAAAAATTTACTTTGGCTCGTTTTGAACTTATCTTCCTGTGCTGCCTTGTTGATTTACTACACAGATAAGGAGCCATGCCCAAAAATACTTCTTGAAGGTTCAGAAAAACGGGACACTAGCACATGTGCCACCTCCTAGGCCTAAGCGCAAAGCATCTCATCCGTATCCTCAAAAGGCATCCAAGAACGGTTCGTTGCTTTTACTATAATACTTTTTATTAGTCTGGTTAGAGAGATTAATATCCATTTTCGAGTTTTTTAACTCACGTTTTTGAAGCTCAAATGCCACCACTTCAAGTTTCCACTTCTTTTTCTACTCCAAATAGCGACATGCCGGGATATACTTCGTGGGATGAGGCATCAATGCTGCTAAACAGAGTTATTTCACCACAGCAAGAACTTGCTACTCTTCTTGGAGCAGAAGGCATGCTCTTTCGTCTGTGTTTTTTTGTATTGTTTCTTCTCTTTTTTCTTTTCTTTTGGTATATGTTAGTAGAATAGGTTTCATCCAAAGGACGTTTCATGTGCTTATTATGGCATATAACGCCAATTATTCAGCTGATATTGGATCCAAGGGCCTATTAAATGTTAGTAGCCCTTCCACATCCGGTGTGGGAAGCTCAAGCCGAACAGTATCAGGTTCTGAGAATGTCAAACAGACAAAACAGCCTCCTGTGCTTCACGGTAATCGTTCTTGGTTTTTCTACTATATTTGTTTTGTGATGGACACTGTACTGATGATTGCTTTGCTTGCAGGTGTTCCTGATTTTGCTGAAGTTTATAACTTCATAGGGAGTGTCTTTGATCCTGAAACGAGAGGCCACGTGGAAAAGCTCAAGGAAATGGATCCTATAAATTTCGAAACTGTGAGTCAGAGCTTAGAAACTTTCAGATTTACTTGATGTGCAAGCTTCTAGCTTCCTTTTAACTCATCGCAGTATTATTGTTTTGCAGGTTGTGTTACTGATGAGAAACCTCACAGTAAACTTATCAAACCCTGATTTCGAATCTGCTGTAAGTGTTAAATTTACGATAAAAAGTTTTGTGATGACCAACTCTGTTCTGATATATTTCACTCTCTAAACCAATAAGTTGGTGTCACTTCTTTCACCTTTGCGTGATCAAATGTAAACTAACCATAGCTAGTCCGACTGTAATGATACTGCAGAGGAAAGTCCTCTCATCATATGAAGTGAAAACTGAGATCTCAAGCGTTGCCACTGGTTCCATTGTCAAGACCTCAACAAGCGACAAATCATCATCGTAACGAAGATATCATCCTTCAGTTATCACGTAAGTATTTTTCTTATTCTTCTCTCTCCTCATACGTTTGAAATGCAAATGCAAGAAAACACTCTAATCTTTATCCGAAACCATCAATAGATAGATTCTAGATATCTGCTTATGGTTTGCATATAGAGTTATACAGTTCTCACTGGTAATAGTATCAGTCACACTCAAAATGACCGGATAATTTTCTAAGTTCTTGCATAGGAGTTACATGTGGTGCTCACCGTATTTGCAGGTTTACTCGTCGAGTTTCCATGTTTAATAAAGCTTTTGAGTTATACGTCAGTGGGAATCAGTCACAATCTTGTCAATGCGAAGTTGGGGATAGTGTATAGGGTGTGTTTAGTACGGTTTGTTGTTTTAAGGAGAAGAAACATGAGTGAAGTTTTTCAAGCTTTAGGGGACATGTGCAGAGATTTTGACCAGGACTAGTTCCGTGAGTGGTAGGTATAACATATTACTGTATAAGGGTTAGTTCTTGGTGTTCAAGGCGGTTAGCTGTTGCAAGGCAGCCTCATCCTCATCCGCCCTGTTAACTTCTTGTACAAAAATCTACTTATATTTCTTGGTTTTTTTGTTGTTGTGTATGTTATATATGTTCATCTGTTGGTTAAATCTCTAGTTAATTTTGCCTCTCAATCGGGTTATGTTTTATATAAGCTGGTGTCCGAGGAGATGTCCAAATCCTAAGACTGATTATTCTGCTTCAACATCAGTCTTACGTAAATAAACGCCAAGCCGAGAACTCCATTGTTTTGAAGCTAACAATTATTAGCTTTAAAATTGAATATTAAAAATTAAAGTATGAAATGGTTTTATAAAATCAGCTGCGAAGATATAATCTTTTCGAATTATCAAAGTAATCGAGAAAAAAGCCAATGCCTTGTCTAAATAACATAAAACTTGTTCATGATTCAACTTAGTATCCAGACTCCAAAAGACAACAGAAATAAAACAAAATCTTTCACTAAACATGAAAGTGTTTCCAAACAGATAAGATGATGATTACTGGCTAGCACCAAGCCATTTGGTGAAGTTGTCAAACTCGGTGTAATCACTGTCTGAGATCATAGTCTGGTACCACGACTTCCCTGCTGCTTTGATTGCCAATGCCTCCTCCTGTGGATTCAAGAGGTTCAAAAAGACGATTAAAAAACAAATCAAAGAAGAAAACTCTAACAAGACTACGCAATCAGACCGTAATTGCAGAGACATTTGATTGCTAAGCGAAAATAAAATCTCCATTAGAAAATGAGCCATAAGATACATCTCCATCGATAATAAGCAAAGAAACACAACCAATTTACAAGAGAACATCAGTATAACATATTTAGGATCAGAACAGATGATATAGTAAAGAAAGGCCACAAACTGAAGTCACTAACACTAGCATAAGCAAACTTAGTCAACAATTCAAAAACCAATGCGCCAAATGCAATCCAAAACAGAAATCGAATAGAAATCAATAACAACAATCCAGAAATGGCAGACAAAAGAAGAAAATGGGAAATGGAGGTTACCTTGGTGACAGTCTTCCTCTTCTTGGTGAGCTTCTCCTTCTTGGCCTTAACCCTCTGAGCCTCCGCCAACAACGACATCCTCTTGGCAGTCTTAGCATAAGGATTCAACTTGAGCATCACGTTGAGGTTCTTCAACGGATTCTTCTTCATCACAGCCCTCTTCGCATCCTTCTTAATCGGCTTCACAACGCTCTGAACCTCATCGGAGTTGATAATCCTAGCGAGATCAGCATTCACCATCTTCGCACGAGGAAGCACGTACCCCTTCTTCTTCTCAGACGGCTTATCGAACGAGCCGTAGATCGACTCGAGCTTCTCGAAGGCAGACTTGGTCCAGATCACGAAACGGCCAAGGTGACCACCAGGAGCAAGCTTCAGCAAGTTAAGCCTCTCCACGTGGCAGAGCTCAACACCAGTAATGTTCCTAAAGGCCTTGACTATCTTAGCTCCTTCAGTTCCGTAAACCACGAGAGGACCTTTCCTCGATATGTAACGGCGGTTCCTCGCCTTACCTTTACCGGGACGGATCCCGATGCTGTCCTTGGCCTTCTCGGCGTCGTCGTAAGCTCCGAACTGCTTCAGAGCCTTGATCGCGGCTGATGTCTTCTCCAGTGCCTCGGTGGTGTCGCTGACAACAAGGGGCATCTCCGGGACGTTTTCGATGCGGTGACCGCGAGCCATCACGAGAGCTGGAACAGCAGTCGCGGCGATCGCTGAGACGATTGCGTGCCTCTTCATGTTCACATTGACGCGACGGTGCCATTTCCTCCAGATCTTCGTCGGAGCGAACATTCGACCACCACGACACATGTTACCGAAGGCGGCCTGACCGGCACGGTGGGTACCGCCTCCGGGAACACGAGGGATACGGGAGACGGCACGACCGGTTCCCCATGACTCGGCGGAGGTCTGGTGACCGGCTTTCTTCGACACGGCGTAAGGCTGGCGGCTGTTGTTGGAGATCTGGGCGTGGACGAAGCTGACCACGTCTGGGCGAATCGGCGCCGTCATGACATCGGGCAACACCACGGTGAAGGACTGATCGGTGCTCATGTCACCGTCCAAACCCTGGACGGAGACGAGAGGACGTGCGGCGGCGGCGGCCATTTCTGTCTCTCGATATGTGTTTTCTCTCTTCACTCACTGTCTCTCGACTCGATGAGACTTCTAGGGCTTCCCCGCAGCCCCAGCTTAAGAATAAATATATGCTACGATTTCGATTAGGGTTTAATGTCGAAATCTCGATTACTGGGCCTTAAAAAGCCCAAATAATTTACTTTTGCTTTCAAGCCCAAAAATTCAAAGTCTCCACGTGATATAACTTGTGGGTTCAAAGACTGTGTGATTCAGGTTTTGAGGATAGCTTACTCTGAATTTAAGGCAAAATTTACTTTGGCACGTTTTGAATTTACTCTTCGTGTACTGCCTTCTTGATCTACAGGACTACAGATAAGGTTCAGAAAAACGGGACACTAGCACATGTGCCACATCAAAAATCTGGTGATGAACCTATTGGGCTTATGTTTTATTTACCCACATGTGCCACACTAATATTTACCCTCTTTATCGGGTTATGTTTTTAGCTAAGCTGGTGTCAGTTGTCCAAATCCTAAGATTAGGTTTATCTGACCTATTAGTGTGTTTTATTTACCCACATGTGCCACACTAATATTTACCCTCTTTATCGGGTTATGTTTTTAGCTAAGCTGGTGTCAGTTGTCCAAATCCTAAGATAAGAGGGTAAATATTAGTGTGGCACATGTGGGTAAATAAAACATAAGCCCAATAGGTTCATCACCAGATTTTTGATGTGGCACATGTGCTAGTGTCCCGTTTTTCTGAACCTTATCTGTAGTCCTGTAGATCAAGAAGGCAGTACACGAAGAGTAAATTCAAAACGTGCCAAAGTAAATTTTGCCTTAAATTCAGAGTAAGCTATCCTCAAAACCTGAATCACACAGTCTTTGAACCCACAAGTTATATCACGTGGAGACTTTGAATTTTTGGGCTTGAAAGCAAAAGTAAATTATTTGGGCTTTTTAAGGCCCAGTAATCGAGATTTCGACATTAAACCCTAATCGAAATCGTAGCATATATTTATTCTTAAGCTGGGGCTGCGGGGAAGCCCTAGAAGTCTCATCGAGTCGAGAGACAGTGAGTGAAGAGAGAAAACACATATCGAGAGACAGAAATGGCCGCCGCCGCCGCACGTCCTCTCGTCTCCGTCCAGGGTTTGGACGGTGACATGAGCACCGATCAGTCCTTCACCGTGGTGTTGCCCGATGTCATGACGGCGCCGATTCGCCCAGACGTGGTCAGCTTCGTCCACGCCCAGATCTCCAACAACAGCCGCCAGCCTTACGCCGTGTCGAAGAAAGCCGGTCACCAGACCTCCGCCGAGTCATGGGGAACCGGTCGTGCCGTCTCCCGTATCCCTCGTGTTCCCGGAGGCGGTACCCACCGTGCCGGTCAGGCCCCCTGTTTCTGAGATCATTCCTTGGTTGATAGCCTCCACCTTGGGAAAGGGTTGGCTAGGCATTGAGAAGCCCAATATCAAGAGAAGCCTTGATACAAGGAGTTTTAAGAGCTAGATTGATTAAGTGTAGATTCCTTTGATTGCAAAACCCTGTCTTGAACCCTGATTCTCTCTTTATCTTGTTAAAGTCGTCACCTTTAGCTTTGTTTGTCTCAACTCGTCCCTAAACTCGATCGAGCTGGTACTTTGCTCTAGCTCGACTCGAGCTCTTGGTCGAGCTGACGCTTCACTGCTTTGTTTACTTTTATTGCACTGCTTTTCATTATTTTTAGGTTGTTAGTGTTACTTCAAATCTATAACTGCTTGCTTGACTTTCAGGTTGTTTCATACTCTCAAAGAGTAACAAGTTCCCATTTTGGATTGATAACCTCTTATACTTCTATGACTATGATGGTTAAGAGGAATTGATTGATTGTGATTGCACCATACCATATCATCTTTATTCACCCCTGTTTGCATACCACCTCATTTCATATCACACACACACACAAAATCCTATCATCATGTCCTCGACCCAGCTTGAAATTTCATCGACCAATAGGGTATAATATGGCGACTGGTGAAGTTTGGGGTCGTTTGAACGAGTGATTTGAATCTTTCTTTGAAACAATTTCAAAGCGGCTCCGGGAACGTCTTCCTTCGGCCTTCTCCAAATCTGCACGTTCCATTCTCTATTTTCTTCCTTAGATGCTATGCAGATGCTTAATGGAGTTGATTTTAGCCGGTGGCCGCGCTAAATGCCGTCATTTCGTATTATCGGCCATTTTACATGCCCGCATTCGGCCAAATTTCACTCCTTCGGCCATCTCTTGAACTAGAAGGAATTCATCGTACTGAAATGAAATTTCATCGACCAACCTTATTTTTTATGGCTCCCTGTGAAGTTGGAGGCTGTTCGAACGGGCGGATTCGGAGATGTTTGAATGTGCTCGCCAATGGCTTCGGGATGTGATTCCTCCGGCCGTCTTGTATTCCGTTCGATCGTTTCCTTCTTTTCTTCTTCCTTGGTGTTTGTTATGTTCCAACGAATCAGTTTCCACTGGAGTTCGCGCCTTCCTTTGATTTTGAGTTTATCGGCCATGTGATGCATCGCCGTCGGCCGTATTGACACTCCTCGTCCATCTCAAAATGCATGCACTTTCTCCCGTCCTATCCTTTAGGATTTGCCGGACCAAAATTGTGTTTTGAGGTCGCCTGTGAAGTTGGGTGGACGTCGGACGTGCCGTTTGTGAGATGGTCGAGTGTGGTCGCTTGGTTCGTCGATATTGGCCGAGAGAGTGGTTGTAAGTGTTATATCTCCTGTTTTACTCGGGCCAATTGAGTTCTGCTGCGACCGAACTGTTTTTCTATCCCTCATGGATCGAATTTGGTAGGGCGTCGCCTAGTCTCGCATGTTTTCCTTGGGTCTCCTCCTTTGGCCGGTCGTGGCTTTTGTTGTTCGCCTTGTTGGTTTGATGTTCTGAACCGGTTCTCCTGTCATATTGTAATCTGAAAAATACTAGTATTCTTTTTGTTAATCTCTGTCAATGATTGAGATGCTCAAAAAGGTTTGAACGTCCCAATCAAAGACTTGATCGTGTAAACCATGTGTACTTGGGGTCTTGATCAGAGATCCAAGTAGTGTCCATTGGTTTAATATGATAGAAATAGTGTTTAAAAGGAATGACAATTGAATGGAAGTGTTACTTACCTTTGCCTTGTGCAATAGTGTTCCAATGGCCGGATTTTGTTGTGTTGCGGCCCTTTTTGGATTCTTTGTTTCTTGAAACATGGGTGGGACTTGGGTGGGACTCCAACTAGACTCAATACTCAGCATTTGACCAAAGATGGTTAATCTTTTGGGTCGACTCGTGGCGATGTAGCTTATCCAATGCATTTCTCTATGTAGACCTGATGTACTTGCATTTTACATAGTTTTAGCACATCTTTTATGCATCTTTTGCATAGTTTTAGCTTCCATTTGCATCATATCTTGTTCCTTTTCTCTTCTTATGCATTCATGTTAGTTTTAGGTTGCATTTGCATACATATGCATGTTTGGTCCTTTGAAATAGGTCTTTTGGAGCATTCTGGAGCATATGGGACACAAGGAGCATGGAGGGACTTGGCACATGGAAGCAGCTCAACTGGATACACAAAGGAAGAAGGGAGAAGCCATCTTGAAGACCAGCTCGACCGTCCACTCGACCAACCGGTCGAGTTCCTCAACTCGACCGGCCAAGCTTCAACTCGATCGAGCTGGGGAGTCAAAGTCAAACCCGAAAAATGTTGCTTCCCCCTTGACTTCCTTTGACCCTAAACCTAATCCTCTTTGTATTTAAAGGCTCTAAGCCACGAAAAAACCACCAAGCTTTAGATTACTTTTGTTTTAGCTTCTTTTAATTTATTGTACTTTTACTTTTTAGAGATCTAATCCCATCTTTGTGTTCTTGAAGCTCTTGCTTCTTGAATCTTAGATCCTGGATAATCTCTCTTGTATTTGCACTTGCTTATTTCAATAAAAGTTGTTTAATTTCATCTCCTCTTTCTTATGATGTCTCTTTTATTGCATTTGCTTGTGTTTACATTCATGTGTAGTGAGTAGTTACCCATTAGGGTTTGAGATGGGATAGATTAGAGGTTTCATATGCTTAATCCTTCTAGCTTATGGTCTTAATCTAGATTCTCTCTCTTTTGGATAGATCTTAAGGCTACATGACCACTACCCCTGGCTTGTAAGTCCTTAGGCGACTCCCCACACGAAAGTGATGGCATTCGCTGGAAAAGATCCACTAAGAGCTCCAATATCTCTTGCTCTAGACAATAGAGGTCTAAGGGGTTGGATGGATTAGTTTGGGCAATGATCCTATAGCCTCCAAGGTTTGATTCTCACTGGCTAACCCCCTGTTTCTGAGATCATTCCTTGGTTGATAGCCTCCACCTTGGGAAAGGGTTGGCTAGGCATTGAGAAGCCCAATATCAAGAGAAGCCTTGATACAAGGAGTTTTAAGAGCTAGATTGATTAAGTGTAGATTCCTTTGATTGCAAAACCCTGTCTTGAACCCTAATTCTCTCTTATCTTGTTAAAGTCGTCACCTTTAGCTTTGTTTGTCTCAACTCGTCCCTAAACTCGATCGAGCTGGTACTTTGCTCTAGCTCGACTCGAGCTCTTGGTCGAGCTGACACTTCACTGCTTTGTTTACTTTTATTGCACTGCTTTTCATTTTTTTAGGTTGTTAGTGTTACTTCAAATCTATAACTGCTTGCTTGACTTTCAGGTTGTTTCATATTCTCAAAGAGTGACAAGTTTCCCATTTTGGATTGATAACCTCTTATACTTCAATGACTATGATGGTTAAGAGGAATTGATTGATTGTGATTGCACCATACCATTCATCTTTATTCACCCCTGTTTGCATTCCACCTCATTTCATATCACACACACACACAAATCCTATCATCATGTCCTCGACCCAGCTTGAAATTTCATCGACCAATAGGGTATAATATGGCGACTGGTGAAGTTTGGGGTCGTTTGAACGAGTGATTTGAAGCTTTCTTTGAAACAATTTCAAAGCGGCTCCGGGAACGTCTTCCTTCGGCCTTCTCCAAATCTGCACGTTCCATTCTCTATTTTCTTCCTTAGATGCTATGCAGATGCTTAATGGAGTTGATTTTAGCCGGTGGCCGCGCTAAATGCCGTCATTTCGTATTGTCGGCCATTTTACATGCCCGCAATCGGCCAAATTTCACTCCTTCGGCCATCTCTTGAACTAGAAGGAATTCATCGTACTGAAATGAAATTTCATCGACCAACCTTATTTTTTATGGCTCCCTGTGAAGTTGGAGGCTGTTCTAACGGGCGGATTCGGAGATGTTTGAATGTGCTCGCCAATGGCTTCGGGATGTGATTCCTCCGGCCGTCTTGTATTCCGTTCGATCGTTTCCTTCTTTTCTTCTTCCTTGGTGTTTTTTATGTTCCAACGAATCAGTTTCCACTGGAGTTCGCGCCTTCCTTTGATTTTGAGTTTATCGGCCATGTGATGCATCGCCGTCGGCCGTATTGACACTCCTCGTCCATCTCAAAATGCATGCACTTTCTCCCGTCCTATCCTTTGGATTTGCCGACCAAAATTGTGTTTTGAGGTCGCCTGTGAAGTTGGGTGGACGTCGGACGTGCCGTTTGTGAGATGGTCGAGTGTGGTCGCTTGGTTCGTCGATATTGGCCGAGAGAGTGGTTGTAAGTGTTATATCTCCTGTTTTACTCGGGACAATTGAGTTCTGCTGCGACCGAACTGTTTTTCTATCCCTCATGGATCGAATTTGGTAGGGCGTCGCCTAGTCTCGCATGTTTTCCTTGGGTCTCCTCCTTTGGCCGGTCGTGGCTTTTGTTGTTCGCCTTGTTGGTTTGATGTTCTGAACCGGTTCTCCTGTCATATTGTAATCTGAAAAATACTAGTATTCTTTTTGTTAATCTCTGTCAATGATTGAGATGCTCAAAAAGGTTTGAACGTCCCAATCAAAGACTTGATCGTGTAAACCATGTGTACTTGGGGTCTTGATCAGAGATCCAAGTAGTGTCCATTGGTTTAATATGATAGAAATAGTGTTTAAAAGGAATGACAATTGAATGGAAGTGTTACTTACCTTTGCCTTGTGCAATAGTGTTCCAATGGCCGGATTTTGTTGTGTTGCGGCCCTTTTTGGATTCTTTGTTTCTTGAAACATGGGTGGGACTTGGGTGGGACTCCAACTAGACTCAATACTCAGCATTTGACCAAAGATGGTTAATCTTTTCGACTCGTGGCGATGTAGCTTATCCAATGCATTTCTCTATGTAGACCTGATGTACTTGCATTTTACATAGTTTTAGCACATCTTTTATGCATCTTTTGCATAGTTTTAGCTTTCATTGCATCATATCTTGTTCCTTTTCTCTTCTTATGCATTCATGTTAGTTTTAGGTTGCATTTGCATACATATGCATGTTTGGTCCTTTGAAATAGGTCTTTTGGAGCATTCTGGAGCATATGGGACACAAGGAGCATGGAGGGACTTGGCACATGGAAGCAGCTCAACTGGATACGCAAAGGAAGAAGGGAGAAGCCATCTTGAAGACCAGCTCGACCGTCCACTCGACCAACCGGTCGAGTTCCTCAACTCGACCGGCCAAGCTTCAACTCGATCGAGCTGGGGAGTCAAAGTCAAACCCGAAAAATGTTGCTTCCCCCTTGACTTCCCTTTGACCCTAAACCTAATCCTCTTTGTATTTAAGGGCTCTTAGCCACGAAAAAACCACCAAGCTTTAGATTACTTTTGTTTTAGCTTCTTTTAATTTATTGTACTTTTACTTTTTAGAGATCTAATCCTCTCTTTGTGTTCTTGAAGCTCTTGCTTCTTGAATCTTAGATCCTGGATAATCTCTCTTGTATTTGCACTTGCTTATTTCAATAAAAGTTGTTTAATTTCATCTCCTCTTTCTTATGATGTCTCTTTTATTGAATTTGCTTGTGTTTACATTTATGTTTAGTGAGTAGTTACCCATTGGGGTTTGAGATGGGGTAGATTAGAGGTTTCATATGCTTAATCTTTCTAGCTTATGGTCTTAATCTAGATTCTCTCTCTTTTGGATAGATCTTAAGGCTACATGACCACTACCCCTGGCTTGTAAGTCCTTAGGCGACTCCCCACACGAAAGTGATGGCATTCGCTGGAAAAGATCCACTAAGAGCTCCAATATCTCTTGCTCTAGACAATAGAGGTCTAAGGGGTTGGATGGATTAGTTTGGGCAATGATCCTATAGCCTCCAAGGTCTGATTCTCACTGGCTAACCCCCTGTTTCTGAGATCATTCCTTGGTTGATAGCCTCCACCTTGGGAAAGGGTTGGCTAGGCATTGAGAAGCCCAATATCAAGAGAAGCCTTGATACAAGGAGTTTTAAGAGCTAGATTGATTAAGTGTAGATTCCTTTGATTGCAAAACCCTGTCTTGAACCCTGATTCTCTCTTTATCTTGTTAAAGTCGTCACCTTTAGCTTTGTTTGTCTCAACTCGTCCCTAAACTCGATCGAGCTGGTACTTTGCTCTAGCTCGACTCGAGCTCTTGGTCGAGCTGACGCTTCACTGCTTTGTTTACTTTTATTGCACTGCTTTTCATTATTTTTAGGTTGTTAGTGTTACTTCAAATCTATAACTGCTTGCTTGACTTTCAGGTTGTTTCATACTCTCAAAGAGTAACAAGTTCCCATTTTGGATTGATAACCTCTTATACTTCAATGACTATGATGGTTAAGAGGAATTGATTGATTGTGATTGCACCATACCATATCATCTTTATTCACCCCTGTTTGCATACCACCTCATTTCATATCACACACACACACAAAATCCTATCATCATGTCCTCGACCCAGCTTGAAATTTCATCGACCAATAGGGTATAATATGGCGACTGGTGAAGTTTGGGGTCGTTTGAACGAGTGATTTGAAGCTTTCTTTGAAACAATTTCAAAGCGGCTCCGGGAACGTCTTCCTTCGGCCTTCTCCAAATCTGCACGTTCCATTCTCTATTTTCTTCCTTAGATGCTATGCAGATGCTTAATGGAGTTGATTTTAGCCGGTGGCCGCGCTAAATGCCGTCATTTCGTATTATCGGCCATTTTACATGCCCGCATTCGGCCAAATTTCACTCCTTCGGCCATCTCTTGAACTAGAAGGAATTCATCGTACTGAAATGAAATTTCATCGACCAACCTTATTTTTTATGGCTCCCTGTGAAGTTGGAGGCTGTTCGAACGGGCGGATTCGGAGATGTTTGAATGTGCTCGCCAATGGCTTCGGGATGTGATTCCTCCGGCCGTCTTGTATTCCGTTCGATCGTTTCCTTCTTTTCTTCTTCCTTGGTGTTTTTTATGTTCCAACGAATCAGTTTCCACTGGAGTTCGCGCCTTCCTTTGATTTTGAGTTTATCGGCCATGTGATGCATCGCCGTCGGCCGTATTGACACTCCTCGTCCATCTCAAAATGCATGCACTTTCTCCCGTCCTATCCTTAGGATTTGCCGACAAAAATTGTGTTTTGAGGTCGCCTGTGAAGTTGGGTGGACGTCGGACGTGCCGTTTGTGAGATGGTCGAGTGTGGTCGCTTGGTTCGTCGATATTGGCCGAGAGAGTGGTTGTAAGTGTTATATCTCCTGTTTTACTCGGGCCAATTGAGTTCTGCTGCGACCGAACTGTTTTTCTATCCCTCATGGATCGAATTTGGTAGGGCGTCGCCTAGTCTCGCATGTTTTCCTTGGGTCTCCTCCTTTGGCCGGTCGTGGCTTTTGTTGTTCGCCTTGTTGGTTTGATGTTCTGAACCGGTTCTCCTGTCATATTGTAATCTGAAAAATACTAGTATTCTTTTTGTTAATCTCTGTCAATGATTGAGATGCTCAAAAAGGTTTGAACGTCCCAATCAAAGACTTGATCGTGTAAACCATGTGTACTTGGGGTCTTGATCAGAGATCCAAGTAGTGTCCATTGGTTTAATATGATAGAAATAGTGTTTAAAAGGAATGACAATTGAATGGAAGTGTTACTTACCTTTGCCTTGTGCAATAGTGTTCCAATGGCCGGATTTTGTTGTGTTGCGGCCCTTTTTGGATTCTTTGTTTCTTGAAACATGGGTGGGACTTGGGTGGGACTCCAACTAGACTCAATACTCAGCATTTGACCAAAGATGGTTAATCTTTTGGGTCGACTCGTGGCGATGTAGCTTATCCAATGCATTTCTCTATGTAGACCTGATGTACTTGCATTTTACATAGTTTTAGCACATCTTTTATGCATCTTTTGCATAGTTTTAGCTTTCATTTGCATCATATCTTGTTCCTTTTCTCTTCTTATGCATTCATGTTAGTTTTAGGTTGCATTTGCATACATATGCATGTTTGGTCCTTTGAAATAGGTCTTTTGGAGCATTCTGGAGCATATGGGACACAAGGAGCATGGAGGGACTTGGCACATGGAAGCAGCTCAACTGGATACGCAAAGGAAGATGGGAGAAGCCATCTTGAAGACCAGCTCGACCGTCCAACTCGACCGGCCAAGCTTCAACTCGATCGAGCTGGGGAGTCAAAGTCAAACCCGAAAAATGTTGCTTCCCCCTTGACTTCCCTTTGACCCTAAACCTAATCCTCTTTGTATTTAAGGGCTCTTAGCCACGAAAAAACCACCAAGCTTTAGATTACTTTTGTTTTAGCTTCTTTTAATTTTATTGTACTTTTACTTTTAGAGATCTAATCCTCTCTTTGTGTTCTTGAAGCTCTTGCTTCTTGAATCTTAGATCCTGGATAATCTCTCTTGTATTTGCACTTGCTTATTTCAATAAAAGTTGTTTAATTTCATCTCCTCTTTCTTATGATGTCTCTTTTATTGAATTTGCTTGTGTTTAAATTTATGTTTAGTGAGTAGTTACCCATTGGGGTTTGAGATGGGGTAGATTAGAGGTTTCATATGCTTAATCTTTCTAGCTTATGGTCTTAATCTAGATTCTCTCTCTTTTGGATAGATCTTAAGGCTACATGACCACTACCCCTGGCTTGTAAGTCCTTAGGCGACTCCCCACACGAAAGTGATGGCATTCGCTGGAAAAGATCCACTAAGAGCTCCAATATCTCTTGCTCTAGACAATAGAGGTCTAAGGGGTTGGATGGATTAGTTTGGGCAATGATCCTATAGCCTCCAAGGTCTGATTCTCACTGGCTAACCCCCTGTTTCTGAGATCATTCCTTGGTTGATAGCCTCCACCTTGGGAAAGGGTTGGCTAGGCATTGAGAAGCCCAATATCAAGAGAAGCCTTGATACAAGGAGTTTTAAGAGCTAGATTGATTAAGTGTAGATTCCTTTGATTGCAAAACCCTGTCTTGAACCCTGATTCTCTCTTTATCTTGTTAAAGTCGTCACCTTTAGCTTTGTTTGTCTCAACTCGTCCCTAAACTCGATCGAGCTGGTACTTTGCTCTAGCTCGACTCGAGCTCTTGGTCGAGCTGACGCTTCACTGCTTTGTTTACTTTTATTGCACTGCTTTTCATTATTTTTAGGTTGTTAGTGTTACTTCAAATCTATAACTGCTTGCTTGACTTTCAGGTTGTTTCATACTCTCAAAGAGTAACAAGTTCCCATTTTGGATTGATAACCTCTTATACTTCTATGACTATGATGGTTAAGAGGAATTGATTGATTGTGATTGCACCATACCATATCATCTTTATTCACCCCTGTTTGCATACCACCTCATTTCATATCACACACACACACAAAATCCTATCATCATGTCCTCGACCCAGCTTGAAATTTCATCGACCAATAGGGTATAATATGGCGACTGGTGAAGTTTGGGGTCGTTTGAACGAGTGATTTGAAGCTTTCTTTGAAACAATTTCAAAGCGGCTCCGGGAACGTCTTCCTTCGGCCTTCTCCAAATCTGCACGTTCCATTCTCTATTTTCTTCCTTAGATGCTATGCAGATGCTTAATGGAGTTGATTTTAGCCGGTGGCCGCGCTAAATGCCGTCATTTCGTATTATCGGCCATTTTACATGCCCGCATTCGGCCAAATTTCACTCCTTCGGCCATCTCTTGAACTAGAAGGAATTCATCGTACTGAAATGAAATTTCATCGACCAACCTTATTTTTTATGGCTCCCTGTGAAGTTGGAGGCTGTTCGAACGGGCGGATTCGGAGATGTTTGAATGTGCTCGCCAATGGCTTCGGGATGTGATTCCTCCGGCCGTCTTGTATTCCGTTCGATCGTTTCCTTCTTTTCTTCTTCCTTGGTGTTTTTTATGTTCCAACGAATCAGTTTCCACTGGAGTTCGCGCCTTCCTTTGATTTTGAGTTTATCGGCCATGTGATGCATCGCCGTCGGCCGTATTGACACTCCTCGTCCATCTCAAAATGCATGCACTTTCTCCCGTCCTATCCTTAGGATTTGCCGACCAAAATTGTGTTTTGAGGTCGCCTGTGAAGTTGGGTGGACGTCGGACGTGCCGTTTGTGAGATGGTCGAGTGTGGTCGCTTGGTTCGTCGATATTGGCCGAGAGAGTGGTTGTAAGTGTTATATCTCCTGTTTTACTCGGGCCAATTGAGTTCTGCTGCGACCGAACTGTTTTTCTATCCCTCATGGATCGAATTTGGTAGGGCGTCGCCTAGTCTCGCATGTTTTCCTTGGGTCTCCTCCTTTGGCCGGTCGTGGCTTTTGTTGTTCGCCTTGTTGGTTTGATGTTCTGAACCGGTTCTCCTGTCATATTGTAATCTGAAAAATACTAGTATTCTTTTTGTTAATCTCTGTCAATGATTGAGATGCTCAAAAAGGTTTGAACGTCCCAATCAAAGACTTGATCGTGTAAACCATGTGTACTTGGGGTCTTGATCAGAGATCCAAGTAGTGTCCATTGGTTTAATATGATAGAAATAGTGTTTAAAAGGAATGACAATTGAATGGAAGTGTTACTTACCTTTGCCTTGTGCAATAGTGTTCCAATGGCCGGATTTTGTTGTGTTGCGGCCCTTTTTGGATTCTTTGTTTCTTGAAACATGGGTGGGACTTGGGTGGGACTCCAACTAGACTCAATACTCAGCATTTGACCAAAGATGGTTAATCTTTTGGGTCGACTCGTGGCGATGTAGCTTATCCAATGCATTTCTCTATGTAGACCTGATGTACTTGCATTTTACATAGTTTTAGCACATCTTTTATGCATCTTTTGCATAGTTTTAGCTTTCATTTGCATCATATCTTGTTCCTTTTCTCTTCTTATGCATTCATGTTAGTTTTAGGTTGCATTTGCATACATATGCATGTTTGGTCCTTTGAAATAGGTCTTTTGGAGCATTCTGGAGCATATGGGACACAAGGAGCATGGAGGGACTTGGCACATGGAAGCAGCTCAACTGGATACGCAAAGGAAGAAGGGAGAAGCCATCTTGAAGACCAGCTCGACCGTCCACTCGACCAACCGGTCGAGTTCCTCAACTCGACCGGCCAAGCTTCAACTCGATCGAGCTGGGGAGTCAAAGTCAAACCCGAAAAATGTTGCTTCCCCCTTGACTTCCCTTTGACCCTAAACCTAATCCTCTTTGTATTTAAGGGCTCTTAGCCACGAAAAAACCACCAAGCTTTAGATTACTTTTGTTTTAGCTTCTTTTAATTTTATTGTACTTTTACTTTTAGAGATCTAATCCTCTCTTTGTGTTCTTGAAGCTCTTGCTTCTTGAATCTTAGATCCTGGATAATCTCTCTTGTATTTGCACTTGCTTATTTCAATAAAAGTTGTTTAATTTCATCTCCTCTTTCTTATGATGTCTCTTTTATTGAATTTGCTTGTGTTTACATTTATGTTTAGTGAGTAGTTACCCATTGGGGTTTGAGATGGGGTAGATTAGAGGTTTCATATGCTTAATCTTTCTAGCTTATGGTCTTAATCTAGATTCTCTCTCTTTTGGATAGATCTTAAGGCTACATGACCACTACCCCTGGCTTGTAAGTCCTTAGGCGACTCCCCACACGAAAGTGATGGCATTCGCTGGAAAAGATCCACTAAGAGCTCCAATATCTCTTGCTCTAGACAATAGAGGTCTAAGGGGTTGGATGGATTAGTTTGGGCAATGATCCTATAGCCTCCAAGGTCTGATTCTCACTGGCTAACCCCCTGTTTCTGAGATCATTCCTTGGTTGATAGCCTCCACCTTGGGAAAGGGTTGGCTAGGCATTGAGAAGCCCAATATCAAGAGAAGCCTTGATACAAGGAGTTTTAAGAGCTAGATTGATTAAGTGTAGATTCCTTTGATTGCAAAACCCTGTCTTGAACCCTGATTCTCTCTTTATCTTGTTAAAGTCGTCACCTTTAGCTTTGTTTGTCTCAACTCGTCCCTAAACTCGATCGAGCTGGTACTTTGCTCTAGCTCGACTCGAGCTCTTGGTCGAGCTGACGCTTCACTGCTTTGTTTACTTTTATTGCACTGCTTTTCATTATTTTTAGGTTGTTAGTGTTACTTCAAATCTATAACTGCTTGCTTGACTTTCAGGTTGTTTCATACTCTCAAAGAGTAACAAGTTCCCATTTTGGATTGATAACCTCTTATACTTCAATGACTATGATGGTTAAGAGGAATTGATTGATTGTGATTGCACCATACCATATCATCTTTATTCACCCCTGTTTGCATACCACCTCATTTCATATCACACACACACACAAAATCCTATCATCATGTCCTCGACCCAGCTTGAAATTTCATCGACCAATAGGGTATAATATGGCGACTGGTGAAGTTTGGGGTCGTTTGAACGAGTGATTTGAAGCTTTCTTTGAAACAATTTCAAAGCGGCTCCGGGAACGTCTTCCTTCGGCCTTCTCCAAATCTGCACGTTCCATTCTCTATTTTCTTCCTTAGATGCTATGCAGATGCTTAATGGAGTTGATTTTAGCCGGTGGCCGCGCTAAATGCCGTCATTTCGTATTATCGGCCATTTTACATGCCCGCATTCGGCCAAATTTCACTCCTTCGGCCATCTCTTGAACTAGAAGGAATTCATCGTACTGAAATGAAATTTCATCGACCAACCTTATTTTTTATGGCTCCCTGTGAAGTTGGAGGCTGTTCGAACGGGCGGATTCGGAGATGTTTGAATGTGCTCGCCAATGGCTTCGGGATGTGATTCCTCCGGCCGTCTTGTATTCCGTTCGATCGTTTCCTTCTTTTCTTCTTCCTTGGTGTTTTTTATGTTCCAACGAATCAGTTTCCACTGGAGTTCGCGCCTTCCTTTGATTTTGAGTTTATCGGCCATGTGATGCATCGCCGTCGGCCGTATTGACACTCCTCGTCCATCTCAAAATGCATGCACTTTCTCCCGTCCTATCCTTAGGATTTGCCGACCAAAATTGTGTTTTGAGGTCGCCTGTGAAGTTGGGTGGACGTCGGACGTGCCGTTTGTGAGATGGTCGAGTGTGGTCGCTTGGTTCGTCGATATTGGCCGAGAGAGTGGTTGTAAGTGTTATATCTCCTGTTTTACTCGGGCCAATTGAGTTCTGCTGCGACCGAACTGTTTTTCTATCCCTCATGGATCGAATTTGGTAGGGCGTCGCCTAGTCTCGCATGTTTTCCTTGGGTCTCCTCCT